CTCAAAATGCTTGTTCTTTTGCTCTTAGCAGGTGGTACTTAAAAGTGACCAGCACTGATGAATTCCAGTACCTTCAAAAACATTTCCCATGGGGATCTTACCCACTACTTCCCTGAGCAGCCTGAATTCTGCTCTCCTCATATCCACAGCTGAAGTTCTGCTGTCACTTTTCCTTCTGTCAACAGAGATTTTAAACTCGACTTCTTCATGTTCATTGTGGCCGAGATGGACACCAGTTGCCACTTCACTCACAAAACTGTCTTATTGACAAGCAACAAATACAGGAGAGCACCTTTCCTAGTCAGCTCCCTTAGTACCATAAAGCTATTGTCTAGGTGGTTTTGGAATCCTCTGGCCCCGTTTATGCCAGCTGTGTGGTATTCCCACCTAACATCTGGCAACTTGAACTCCTTGATAAAGATGAAGGCTTGTTGATTTAGAGGATTAGGGTAGTTGACTATTGACTTACAGGTATAAAAGAAGTAACTTAGAGGTATAAAACCTATGTTCAATATGAAAGTTTATTAACACATTAATACATTGTTTTCTTTTTATTTTTTTTCATGTTACTGAAGTCCTTCTTAAGCAATGATCAGAGGTTAATCAGATTCACTGCTGACCATAATTTAACCCATTTTAGCATGGTATCCATATTCAGTTATATGATAATTCAGTCCTAATTCAAACTTAACCTCAAATTTCTTGAGATGATATGAAAGTCTTTATATCCATAAAGTGGTAGATTAACAAATTTCAACTGATCTACTGAATCCTATTCTTTGTTTCCTTTTCCCCTCACTCTTGAACTTGACAATATAAATATGACATTTTCATAATTTTCATAAAAGGGGAAAAAGGATGCCACTTACAGTTCAGTTACATCTTTTGGGATGCCCTTAGGCAAAGCTTTTAGGCCCTTGTTGCTGCAGCGAACTACTGTGTCCAGACAAGTACATTCTGCAGGACAGCGGGACAGTGGAGAGCAGCTGTTGTCATCATTTCCTGGTTAATAAAAATGAACAGATGCTAAGCTTGCTAATACAAGTCACTTCAGTATTAGCAATAATAGCCCACCTGGATTTTTTTTTTAATTAAACATGTTATTTCTACATTACAATATCTCAGGGTAGGGAAAAAATTACATTATCTCTGTACACCATTGTTCCAAGAATTTACATTTCAAGTGATGCTTTACTTAGTATAATGCTGTTTTACTAGGTAAGAAAGCTATTATATGGAAAAAAAATCATGAAAGAAAAAATAAAACCTGAAATGAAAGAAAATAAAATTAACAAACTATCAAAAACAGTCTCTTTAAAAAAGATACAGCCCTGGAAACTGCCAAGCTATTAATGCAGTAAATGGAGGCATGTTTGAGAGATGTAAGATAGCAGCCTTTTTTTTCTTTATTAAGCATTAATGAAGTCACAAGCTAAGCAAAATGTCATGTTATTTGATCAAGTAACCTGAAAGCATGCTTGATTCAAGTATCAGTATTTGAAAATATCCTCATCTGAACTATAACATTTGATCAGTTTCTTTATATTGCTTCTAAATTATTATACTGAGTAATATACTGAGTAATATAGTGAGTAAAAGTTCGTTCACACCAGAGGCTCCATCAAATGCCCCTTCTTCAATATCTGTAATCTTGTTATTGCTCAGGTTTATATTACACATTAACAGAAACAGAGAAGAACATGTTTTCTTTTATAAATACCCTACATTAACTGTTCAATGCTGCATACTGCACAACTTTCAAGACACTGAGTTAGAATCACAGAATCACTCAGGTTGAAAAAGACCCCCAAGATGATCAAATCCAACCTTGATGCAATAACCAAGTTATTGTTTAAAAGCAACAAATACATCGATCAAATTCAAACCAATAAAAGCAAAATTCAATGTCCTTTGTCGTGGTTTTGCCCCTCAGCCCATCCCTGGGGCTGATGATGGTTTTGTCCAGGTAATTTCCGGACAAAAAGACCAATCAAAAGTCCAGGAACGCCTTTGCTAATTACATCTTCAAGAAAACGGAAGAGAAGGTTGTTGGCGCAGTTGGAATTAGAGTAGCAGCCATGTAAGGGAGAGGAGTAGCGGGCCCAAAGCAGGGCCAGACTCCCTCCTCCCCCGGCTTGGGCCGGGGGGGGAGCAGGTGCAGCACTGAAGTTCTCCCTTCTCTCGTGTAAGAGAGTGAAGAGAAAAAAAAGTTTAAAAGACGGACTGCTTGGACAGAAACTGCTGTGGAAGAATTCCAGCCGAAAGATAACGGAGCTTCCAAGGTCGGAGCTGGCAGCCGAAGCTGCAGCAAAGAAAAGTAAAATGCGAAAGGGGGGAGACTTGTTTCCCCCCTGCCTTTCTGCTCTCTCTCCTTAGCAGGGAAAAGACTGAAAAGTAATCCCTGCTACTTGTAAAAGCTTGTTGAAGTAAGGAGACCCCCTATGCAGCTAATAGAAAAGTCTGTGGATGTACTAAAGAGAACCGAGGCTTCATGAGAAGGACTGAAGTGAGGCAGAGTCCTGGTGGAGATTTGTGACCCTGAAGGAAACCTGTGCTGGAGCAGTGATGACTCAGGTGAGATACCGAGATCCGTGCGTGTGTGGATCCATACTGCTGTTAAAGTTTTTGTGACTCTGAGAAATCTCATGCTGGAGCGAGACGGCCCATGTGAGATGCTGGAATCCGTGCGTGTGTGGATTCATATTAGACCCATGCCGAGAAGTCTATCAAGGACTGTTCTCCCATGGGGAGGGACCTCCATAGGGAAACAGGGGTGAACTCTTAAACCATTATCCC